TTGTTTGTGTGTGTCTATTATAAATGGGATTGCTTTCTTCAATTCTGCCTTAGTTCATTTGTTGTTGGTGTATGAAAAAACTATAGATGTTTGTATATTGACTTCATATCCTGAACTCATTTATCTTTTTTTTCATGTTTTCTTTTGGATTTTCTATGTACATATTATAATCATGTCATCTGAAAATAGGGATAATTTCACTTATTCCTTTCATATTTGAATGTCGTTTACTCCACTCTCTGCTCTGATTGTTACTTAGGACTTCCAATGTTATAGTTAAAAGGAGTGAAGAAAGCAGACAGTCATGTGTTGTTGTAGTTATTAGTGGAAAAGATTTTCGCTTTTTCCCATTCAGCATGATGCTAGCTATGGATTTGTCATATTCAGCTTTTATTGTGTTAATAAATGCACCTTCTACACCTACTTTGTTGAGAGTCTCAATCATGAAGATATGTTGTATTCGAACAAATATTTTCTCTCCATCAGTTTATGTGATTATATGGTTTCTATGTCTCCTTCTGTTAATATTATTACACTTATTGTTCTGTGTATGTTGACCCATCTTTTCAACCCTGGGATAAAGCCTATTTGGTCATAATGTGTAATCTTTTGGGCTGTTGGATTTAATTTGCTAGTATTTTGTTGCAGACTTTTGCATCAATATTCATCAGGGATATTGATTTGTAGTTTTCTTCTTTTTGTTGTTGTTTTGTCCTCGTCTGCTTTTTGTATCAAGGTGATGGTGGCTTTGTAAGATAGATTTGGGTGAGTTCTTTACATGTGGGTCTTTAAAAATAGTTTTAGAACTGGTGTTAATTCTTCTTTAAAAGTTTTATACAACTTAGAAATTAAGCCATTAGGGCCCAGACTTGACTTTGTTGGTAGACTATACTGATTCAATTTCATTGCTTGCTATTGATCTAGTTAGGTTTTCTATTTCTTCCTGGTTCAATCTAGGTATATTGTATTTGTCCAGAAATTTGTCTATCTCTTCTAGGTTTTCCAATTCATTGGTGTATAGTTGCTCGAGTATTCCTTAGTGAACTGCTGTATTTCTCTCTCTCTCTCTCTCTCTCTCTCTCTCTCTCATCAAGTTAAAAAAAATTAATGAATAAATAATTTAGAAAATACTACTTCTAAAAAAAAAAAGAAAATACACAAGTACATGGAAACTAAACAACTTAACTCCTGAACCACATTGGTACTACTCAGCAAATTAAGAATGAAATTTATAAATTCCTTGAAACAAATGATGACAAAAACATAACTCTAAAAACTTTCTGAGATGTGGCATAAGCAATCCTAAGAGGGAAGTTTATAGCAATTAGTGCTCACAAAAAAAAAAAAATAGAAAAATGACAAATAACCTGATGATGAATCTCAAGGGACCAGAAAGGCAAGAACAAAAATCTCCTAAAAAAGTAAAGGGGAAAAAATAATATAGATTAGAACAGAAATAAATTAAATGGACAATAAAAGAATACAAAAAATAAAACAGAAAGCCATTTTTGTGAAGGGGTAAATAAAATTTTTAAAAAATAATTAGCTACACTAACTCAGAAAAAAAATAGAGAAAGAGAGAGAGAGTGAGAAAACAAGCTGCCAGTCCAGGATTCAAACCATGGTTGGCCATGTGGGAGTGTCCAGCACCTTAGCTACCACAACACTTGCTGATCCCCAGTATTTGTGTATTTTCAAAAGCTCTTTCAATTGTTAATTTTGAGTTTAATTCCATTGTGGATAAAAAAGGTGCTAGATATTTCTATATATTTTTTTAATTTGTAAAGACATTGTTAATTTTGAGTTTAATTCCATTGTGGATAGAAAAGGTGCTAGATATTTCTATATTTTTTTTCATTTGTAAAGACGTTTTGTGCCCTATTATTTGGTCAGTCTTCAAAATGTTGCATGTGAGGCTGAGAAAAAATGTGCATTTTGTCGTTTGGTGAAATGTTCTATAAATGTCCATCAAGTCCATATGGTATATGGTACCATTTAGCTCTTCTGTCTCTGTATACTTTTGTCTAATGACATGTCTAGTGGTGAGACTGGGGTGTTGAAATTCCCAACAATTAGTATGTCATGGTCTCTCTCTTTTGATCTAGATTCTTTGTACTGTGTATTAGGATGGTCTGAAGCTGAGTTCATAAATAGTCATAATTTTTATATCTTCTTGGTAAATTAATCCTTTTAATACTATTTAATACTATTCTATGACCTTCTTTTTACTAGTTTTTAGCTTCAGGTTTATTTTGTCTGATATTACTATTGCAATTCCAGTTTTTTGCTTTGTTTTGTTTCCATTTATATGATATGACTTTTTCTAGACCTTCACTTTCTTTCTTTCCCCTCCCCCCCCCTTTTTTAAGAGAGGTTTTTGCTATAGGCATGTGCCACTCGCCAGAAAGACAGAGCAAGACATAGAAAGTGAGAAATCACCTCCGGGGAGGATGGCCATGCCACAATCCCTTCTCCTCCATTTTCCTCTTGGGATTTTGGGCATGTACCCACGCATGCCAGTAATTAGTTAAACTGCTGGGTCTGGGACTTGAACTGCGGTTGACTACGTGGGATTTCAGTGATGTAACCATTATGCCATTTTCTGGTCCCATAGCCCTTCGCTTTCAATCTGTTTTTACCAATGTCATATGTTTCTTTAAGCAGCATTTAGTGGACCCCTTTTTGTTCATATTAATGTATTCAGCCAGTCTATATCTTTTCATTGAGAAATTTAATCCAATTAAATTCAATGTACATCACAGCTACCGTTTTGATATTTTTCTAGTTGTTTTATATTTTCTTATTTCTAGTTATCTCCCTTCCATAGCCTCATGTAGTACTCCTTTAAGTATTTCTTGAAGAGTTGATCTACTGTTGGTGAATTCTTTGTTTCGTTTATCTGAGAATGATTTTATTTCTTCTTCCAATTTGAAGGATAGTTTTGCTGAGTATAGTATTCTTGGCTGAAATTGTTTTTCTTTCAGAAATTTGATTGTGAATTTCCATTTCCTCCTTACCTCCATGGTTTCTGCTGAGAGGTCTGAGGTTAGTCTAATGGGATATCCTATTATAAGTAACTTGACATTTCTCTCTTGCCATTTTTAAAATAGTACCCTTTCACTTTTTCCATTTTGATTATAAAGAAGCTCTTATGTTGAATCATTTGGTGTCCTTTATATTTCCTGGATCTGGATGATTGTGTTTCTCTCTAGACTTGGAAAGTTTTCAGATAGTATTTAATGGAATAGATGTTCTATGCCTTTACTCATCGCTTCACCTTCTAGAATACCAATTATGCAGATAGTTGGCCATTTAATGGTGGTTCACGAGGAGCCAGATGCCAGCCATGCCATTCAGATACAAGCAGGGCTTATGTGCCTGACAATAATTTCTGGGTGCAGGTCAGCCCTCTGAACCCAAATGTGGTCCTGGCACAGTGGTCCAGAAGGGGCTGGAGACAAGCCTACCTGCTACTCCAAAAGCAGATCCTGTGTGGCCTATGTGGAATGCCCAGGAGAAAAGCAATCGTTAAGGCCTGAATGTGACTTTATGAAGGTGATATGGGAAAGGCAGGATGATATGCATCAAGTCTATGTGCTCTACAGTGCCTGTTGGAACTACCTTTTCTTCACAGGGGTGGATCAATCCTGAAGACCTGGATGCACCCTGGCAAAGGTAGTCCAGGAGGGGCCAGAGCCCCTGTGCCTTACCAGCCCAAGGGGCTTATGCACCTACCTATGATTTCTGGAAGACCTCAAGGTAGTTCAGACCTCAAAGTCTGAATGTGGGCCCAGGAAAGCTGTCAAGGAGGGACCAAAAGCAAACTTATATGTAAGGTCCTCACCAGAGTTTATGATATAAAAATCCCAATGACTCACAGAGGCTGATCAAGTTTGAGCAGATTCATGCTAGGAGTTAGGGGACTAGATCATGCATTCTGGGATCAGAAGGTCTAGGGCAGTGTTCTGTCTTCCTCTCTCAGACCTGGAGTAGGGATCTCTGGTACTCTTCTCTCTGTCAAGTGCCCCTCCTATTTCCTTTTCCCATAACTTAGGTTCCTTTAACTTCAAGTCTATTTTGTTTGATATCAGCAAAAAAGATACCAATTTTATAGATGTCCAGAAAAGCTGCCCTCTGGGTTGCTCAGCTGGGACTATCAGAAAGACAATCCAATAACTTGAATCTGAGGAGAGGGAAACTACAGGCCTGCCCTCCCTGCCAGAAGGAAGTATCCAGATTCCTCAGTCTCTGTTAAGGGAGGGTTCTCTGCAGGAATGGCTAGATTCAGAGTTCCTGGTGTCTAGTGTGAGGCGGAGTTGGTAAGCTTCAGTCATATGGATATTTACCCTATTTCTTCTGATCACAGGGGCTTTTTCTCCTCTGTGCTATTCACACCCACAGTGCTGTGGAGCTACCTAATTCCCTGGTTTTGATGGTTCACAATTCAATCTCCACCTACTGCTTGGCTCTCAAGATAGTGCTGAGCTCTTGGTGCTTAGAGTACAAGTTCCAAATTTTTCTCTGAAGTGGTATATCCTTGTACCTCCATACAATTGTGTTAGCTATATGTCAGTTCCATTCTTCTGCAGGTGGGAAGTTTGGGGGTCTGAGGTAGTAGTGTGGAATTTGTAGTTCTGGAGGAAAGTTCTCTCCTCTCCTCCATGATGCAGAAGAACTCTGGAGCCTTACCAAATTCAAACTATTGATTCCCTCTTACTCTCTCAAGTAGAGACTTAGTGCAAGTGCAAAGAACTTGCAGTCTTTTTCTTGCACTTAGTCAGTCTTACCTTCTTTGCTGGAAATATAGGTATTTATTCTATGTGTTTTATCCTTTCTTCCCAGAGAGATGACAGAGAGTCACTGGCCTTCTTGATTCCACCAGTACTTTACTTTTTTCTACCCAATGTGACATACTAGTAATAAGAAAACCTCAGTGATAAATGAGAATGATATTTCCCCTTCACCTTTGCCTCCTTTTGTGATCTCTTTCCTTGCCTCAGCTCTGTATGCAGTACTGGCCTGAGAAGACCTCTGGGTGCTACGGGCCCATCCAGGTGGAGTTTGTCTCAGCAGACATCGATGAAGACATCATCCACAGAATATTCCGCATCTGTAACATGGCTCGGGTAAGCATAGCCACCACCATTGTTTGCTGGGCCCTTTTTCCTGAAACCATTGGAGGCTGCCAGGCAAGGATCCCACCGAGCCAGCCAAGAGTGTGTTATGTTCTTCTAATAATCACTTTCTTGAGGAAGTGATGCCTTTCTGGCCCTGGACTCACCAGTGACTGCAATATACAGAGATACAAAGAGCAGCTACAGCTTGTCATCTGCCTGTTTCTTGAGACACTTGCTGCTGTGTAGACAAAACTTCTTAGGCATTAGCTCTTCACCACACTGTTTTGGCAGGAGTTGATGCAGGCTTTGATTGTAACCTGTATGCTTTGGGCTAAGCTCTGAAAACATAAAGATAAAAAAAATAGTTACTTCTATGAGAATATTCACTGAATATTCTCAAAGGTGAGTGGAGGAGTATTGGGTGAGAAGGGGCCTACTAGTAATTTAAAACATGATGGCTAATTAAAGCAGCTTTGGCCTCTACAATAGGCTAAGGGTGAATAAAACCCAAACCATGCTCTCAGAGTTCATTAGCTAATGAGAAGGTGGGATATGTTCTTGTACATGAGCCTCAGGGAGAGAGAACTCTCCCCAAAAGTCAAGAAAGGCTTTGCTTAAACAAAATTTTTTTTTTGAGAGGTTTTTTTTTTTTTTCACTATAGGGCGCGTGCGCTCGCCAGATCACGCCGCAATCCCTTCTCCTCCATTCTCCTCCCGGGATCTTGGGCACGCACGCACACGCGCCCGGCATGAGTTTTAAGCCACCGGGTCCGGGACACGAACCGCGGTCGACTACGTGGGAGTCCAGCGACATAGCCATTACGCTAACTGCTGGTTCCCATTTTTTAATTTTTAAGAAGACACATTTTAATTGGGTTTTAAAGGCTGAATAAGAGTTTCCCAGGTCAATAGTGGGTTCAGGGCAGGAGGATTAATGTGTATGAAGGTATAGAGGAAGGTATGGGGGATAGTCTTAAAGAGACAGTCTGTGATTCTTCCCATGAAGATATGACTTAGACGCCATTTAGTCCTGTATTTTACTATAGTGCTGTGGCCCACATGGCACTACATTCCCACCATAATGGACCTAATAGCCTTTCTGTTCCCAGCCACAGGATGGGTATCGTATAGTCCAACATCTCCAGTACATTGGCTGGCCCGCCTATAGGGACACACCTCCCTCCAAGCGCTCTTTGCTCAAAGTGGTCAGACGACTGGAAAAGTGGCAGGAGCAGTACGACGGGAGGGAGGGACGCACCGTGGTCCACTGCTTGTAAGTATTGTGGTACTGTCTCAGGGCAACAGGATGATGGGTGGCAGTGCACTCTTGAGAATACTTCTGGCCATGTGCATGCCTGGCCATATCACAACTCAACATCCCTCAAAGGCCAATGAAAGTGTATCTGTAAGAACTGTAATCCTTTAATGAACTGGGATTGACAGTGTGTCATCCTGAACTATTGCTATGTGACATATTTGTGATGCAAACACTGGGAGGAGCAGACTACTCCCTCATGCTCTCAATAAGAAGGCAAACCCCACTGTCCACTTGGAGGTTTAATGTCACAAGAAAGCTCAGGACAGAACTAAGCAGAACCCTTAGCAGAACTCTTCTATTATTACCTGGAGAAGAAGAAAAGGAAAGCTTAATTGAAGCCAGACATTTTAAATGTATCACCTCATTCCATCTGTGAGGTAGATATTCTCATTTTGTAGTAGAAAAGTGAGGCACAGATAGGATATAAAGGTTCAAGTACTTAAGAGGGAACTATGATTTGCATTCAGTGGGCTCTAAGCTAATGTGCCATCCATTACCCCACCCTGCCTCTAAATGAACCAAAGGACTTGTCCACTGTGTCTGCCTTTGGGGGCATATCTTACTATAGGCTTATTGGAAACATGAGGACACAGAGAGCATGAGGGGAAGGCACTGCCCTGGGGGCTAACAGAAAGATCAGAAGGGCCCTAGAAATGCTATTTCCCAGGTGGCAGAGCCTGGCGATTGCCTAAAACTTGAGATTTTACAACTAGAGGTTCAACTCCTCTCCTTAACACAATGTTCCTAATTAACCTATTACTCTTAATTCTACCTGTAATCCTAGCAATGGCCTTCCTAACATTAGTAGAATGAAAAGCACGAGGATATATGCAACACCGAAAAGGACCCAATGTTGTTGACCCTTATGACTTTTACAACCATCACAGATACTATAAAACTATTCATCAAAGAACTACTTTGTCCACTAGCATCATACTATTTATTATCACGCCCACTTTATCTCTAAGCTTAGCACTATCTATATGAATTCCCCTGCCAATACCACACCTACTAATTAACCTTAACATAGGAATTCTTTTTATCTTAGCCACCTCTAGCTTAGAACAGTGGTCCCCAGACCCATGGTGTTTGTATCTCCCTATCACCATTACTGAAAGCTTTACCTCCTGTCTTGGAATAGGAATTAGCTCAGGAAAATGGACCTTAACGTTATGGCAAGTGGAAGTCAGGACGCTTAGAGGACCATGGCTGATGATCTGTGCAACATCAGGAAAATCATTTCATTTTGTGAGCCTTTATTTCCTCAGCTATATCCACTGAGTATGTTGAGTAGATCACCTCCAGACTTATATTGCTTTGGCATGAAATAGTTGGAAGATAATAACAATGTATGCAACAATATAAAGAGCAACAATGTCATGTCAGCTAATATGCCAGTGTTGTCCATCTAATTACCTAAAAGAGTGTCAGAGTCTACCATAGGAGTATAAAGTAACCACAGAGAAGGATTCCACAAATGTCCTGGATGCATAACAAATCTGTAGCCATAACAACTACATGTGGAATATTTGGCAGTTGTCCACTTTGATTTTTAGAACTTAAATGAAATGAGTAAACATGATTGAGAGGTCCTCCCTTTTGTAAAATGCTATGTTATAGGGCTACCAGATGACACAGTGGCTACATCACTGGACTCCCACATGGCCAATCATGGTTCAAGTCCTGGCCCAGTGGCTTGAAATTCATGCTGGGCACATGTACATGTGTGCCCAAGATCCCTGGAGGAGAATGGAGGAGAAGGAACTGCAGTATGGCCATCCCCCCCCCAGGGGGTGATTTCTCACTTTCCTTCTCACTCTCTCTTTCTCTCTCCAGTGAGTGAATGTGCCCTAAGGCAAAAATCTCTTAAAATTTTTTTTTAATTTTAAAATTAAAAAAAAGTAAAATGTTGTGTTACATTAAATTTGAACTAAGATCTTCTCTTTTTCAAAGTAAATATTTCTGGAGCTAATAGAGGCATTAATAATATGTCACTGACCTCAGAGTTCAGTTTTGTCTTTCCAAAATCAGCTGATTATTGCTCCTCTTTCATATAGGTAATGGGCCAAGCATGCACATGTCAGGGAAGCTGAAGAACTTAAAGGAGGTTAAACATGCCACTCAACACTTAAGGGCTACCACCTATAGCAAAACCCCTTTCTCAAAGAATAGACCAGAACATATAAATAGTTATTATCCCCCAACTATTTCATGCCAAAGCACTATAGGTCTAAAGGTGATCTAATTCAACATGCCCAGTGGACAGATGAGGAAACTGAGACTCATAGAATGAAATGATTTTCTTGTGTTTTCATAGCTTGTCAGTCATGGTCTTCTAAAGGTCCTTACCTCTATCTGCCATAATGACATCAGAGTCCATTTGACTGGGCTATGCCCACTCTTTAAGACAGAAGGTAGAGGCTCCAGTCCACCTCAGTGACAGAGCCAAACTCAGTCCTTCAGGATCTGATTCCATCTGGCCCTGATATGCTATGTCCAGTCACCTCTTCCTCTTCAACTTTGCTGTTTTTGCTTCAGAAACTACTAACCCTGCTTCCTGGAGATCCCTTTTGGTTCTCGTTCTCTCTCTCTCTCTCTCTCTCTCTCTCTCTCTCCCTGTCATATGTTTGGTTTTAACCTGATTATTTTGAAGAAGTACATTTGTACCCCTGTCTCCCCTAGCTGGGATGACCAGTGGCTTGAATCAAAGGAGAGCACAGCACCTTAGCATCCTTAAGGGCCCCAGACATAGTAACAGCCATTGACATGCAGGCACCAGCCAGTGAATGGAGAGCAACTGCCTGTACTTGAAACATCTGGTTGTTGGGTGTCCTGTAGGTAAAACATCTGGGAGACTGAGTGCCTTTGTTTCTGTACAGATGTTCTTTAGACACAGACTATTACATGAAATCATTAGTTGCTCTTGGCAACATGCCCAGAAGTTCCAAATCAGGCATGTTCCTAAATAGAATTTCTGTAAAGAGTTTGAGGGGTGTTTCCATGAGGATGAATTATGGGGCTTCAGAAAGAAGGAGTAATAAGGGGACAGTCCTCCCAAGAGTCCTCTCTCCGTATACTCAAGAGCAGGAGGGTCTTGCTGTGGTGTATAAGTAGAGACCTGTCATGGCATAGTCTTTTAGTCCTACTCCAGCCTCCCTCACTAAGGCTGGACTGGCTGGCCCTAGGTTAACAGAGTATTGCTGACCTTAGTGGAGAATGGGAAGAACTAGTAGTAAAATCACCTGGAAACTTCCATTTTCTTCATTGGATGTGTAAATGGATTTGGAGGATCTTTTTGGACATCAAGGCAAGCACCACCAGTACAAAGTCACAATATTAATCCCACAAGTTTGGATCATTGTGCCATGGATAACTGTAATGCGCTCATCAAACTAACTGAACTCTTAATAGTCATCTAGGCCAACCCCTTTATTATATGACTGGTGAACTTGGGGCTCAGACAGGGGACGTCACTTGGTCAAGGAAAGAGCATGTCCATGGCACTGATGGAATTAAAGCACTCATGGGTCAGGATAAAGCTTTCACCGTTGCCTTACTTTGTATTTGCTAGGGTAGTTGCTCCACAGCACTATGTGGCTGGGGTCACCTAGGAATGTGGCTCACCTGTTTATTCTGTGTTTAGAAATGGGGGAGGTCGCAGTGGAACCTTCTGTGCCATCTGCAGTGTTTGTGAGATGATCCAACAACAAAACATCATTGACGTGTTCCACATCGTGAAAACATTGCGTAACAACAAATCCAACATGGTGGAAACCCTGGTGAGTATCCCAGGAATGGTTCTCCAGCAACCAGCTACTGATTTTAGTTCGCTTGACCTCAATAAAATGACATCAAATAGAAAACATTCAAGAGCTGGTGCTTTACTTTTGTGAATTCCTTAGGAAAATGTCACTAATTCAGGCCCTACAAAAGGGATCCTGGATTAGTAGAGTGTGATTTATGTTTCTGATTCAATCCAATCCTATTCTAATTCAATTATGCTAATTTTAATACAAAGCATTGAATAAGATGCTGTGGAGAAAAGGATGGCGAAGGGAGTGGGTAAGCAGAGTCCCAGATGGTAAGGCTTGCTGCAGTGGTGAGAATAGACCATGCACAAGGAATGCTGATACAAATCTTTAAACCTACTCAGTCTTTAAACCTGGTCCACAGACCAGCGGCAGCACTTGGGTAGAAATGTAGAATCTTGAGCCCTACTCTAGACCTACTCAATTGGAATCTGTAATATATATATATATAGTCATTCATTCCTGGGTGTACTTGTAAAGTATAAACAGTAAAGATGTCCAGAGATGGTAATTTTGAGTTGACTTTCAGAATGCATGTAGATAAAGTTTTCTCTCTGAAATCTGTATTTATAAACTAAATGCATTTTCCCTTTCATCTCTTGTTTTCTTTTGTCCTCTCAGGAACAGTATAAATTTGTATATGAGGTGGCACTGGAATATTTAAGTTCCTTTTAGTCCACTGATTTGGGGAACCATCTGGAGTCCAGAGGCTGCTACGGCCAAACTCCCTTTTCTGTGAATGGCAGTGACTGGGCTCAGGGGCTCAGAGGTGGCTTCCCTGGCCAGCTCCAAGAAGAAGACTGGTGGTCCCATGTTCCAGGATGGCTCCTGTCACTATGGGAGATGCTGCTCAGAAAGGCCTGGTTTCCCTTCCATCCCTAACCAGCCACAGCCATGGGCCTAAGCAGAAGTGTACCCATAAGTGAGGCCTGGGATGTTTGGTTTCTGGATCTCTTGCTTTTGTTCCAAATGTGTGACTCTCATGGCAAGTTGGCTGTGCAGGTGTTGGGGAGTGGGAGGTACTTCCTTCTCTCAGGAGTGGAGGGAATATGTGCTCTATTTCTCATGCTTTCTTGGAAAAGATTGAGGCTCTTGGGATCACTGTTCTGCCACCCCTATAATCTCCTTCAGGGGCTCTGGAACCCCAGATGCTTGCCAATCTGCATCAGAGTGGTCTCAAGATGCTCCCTGGATCATAGCAGAAACTGCCCACCCCTGATCCTCACACTTATCCTGCATGGGGCTTGGCCCACTACCATCCTGTATTCTTCCCCCAACCCAGGTCTTGATCTGTCATCCCCAGGCCAGCAACCTGTGTCCACAGCACACTTTGATAAAGGTGGTCAGTGGGAGGGAATAAAACTACAGGAAACTTTGCTGTTCTCCCTTAACTTTGTAAAAAGGGACCACCTCCCTGGGAGGGCTCTAGCTGACCTGTACCGATGTAACCCCTGTGTTTCTTGGATGGTAGCCCCCTTTGGGAGAGAGGAACAAGATAAGACTTGATTATTTTTCCAAAGTGTATATAAAAAGAAGCTTTCTCCTTTAGGATGTAAAATCTTAGTCTCTTATGTCAGGAATAGGGGAGGGGGGAGTTTGAATGTATAGCCATAAGACAATTCCCTCCAACCTGTTATCTTTTCTGGCAATGTCCTTCAAAGGTCCCACCCTGAAACAATATAGCCATTGAGCAAAGGAGAGATAAGCTAGTCTGAAGCTAGTTCCTTTGGTTTCTGGGCAGATTTTGTGTATAATTTGCATCTCTAAATCTGAACTCCTTCCTAGACAAACCCTGCTGACAACTTGAAAAATACCTTCATGCATTTCAATTTAAAATAGGCCAAGAGGATCAGGCCTGGGGATCCAGGGTCTTGTCCGAAGTATGAGTGAGACGATGAAAGGAAACCAGGACTTGCTATCTACTGTGTGCCAGGTGCTATGCTGGTGTTTTCCATGTGACATCTCATGCAGTCCTTAGGACTTCCAAGAGAGAACTGTTAACTTGTTATCATCCCCTCTCAACAGCTTAGGAAATCAGACACCTTCCTCAGTGATGAAATCTTGGGTTCCAAAAAGGCAGATAATAGTGATGAGACTCACCTATACTCTTTTCTTCATCCTTTTCCAGCCAGGCAATTATTTTATGGAGAGAAAAATAAAGCCAGAAACTTCTGATCAGAGAATTCCACAAATGGAAATGCAGTTCTTTCTTCCTGGTACCAGTCCTTCTGGGAAGCCTAGAATTTCAGATATGTTATAATAATACATACTCAGCTCCCTGAGAAAGATAGTCTTTTTCTAATTTAATAGTGAAAACAACTCCCTGTTCCCATGAGCTAGAAGGAAACTAGCCAGGGACACTCTCTCTACGTTGGTCTCTAGCCAGTGCTTAGGCTTAGGGATAGCCTAGGCCCTTGGAAGTTCTATTTTAGAGTCTGGTCTAGCCCCAGCCAGGGAAGGAGGAGCACATAATTCAATAAGGCACAGTTTTTGCCCCCAAAGGCTCACTTCTTACTGGAGTTGAGCCATAGTGCAGTCATTTTGGAACAGCGTACAAGTGTTATAAGAGCCTAGATGCAAGAGAGATGCTGTCTGCCTAGGACATCCTAGCAATGTGACATCCACTCCCGCTGAGTATAAACAGGTAGAAAAAGGAAGAAAGGACATTCAGGGCCAGGGATGGGCATATGCAAGGCCAACGAGATGTGAAAAGGCCTTGGAAGAAGCAGTGTGGTGGAGAGGCCCAGCTGGAGCACAGCAGGAGCCAGGCTCAAGACGACAAATGCCCACCAGGATTGCAGTCTCTGTCCTATGGGCAGCAAGGAGTCTGCAGAGCTTTCCAGTGATATGCTTAGCTTACTGTTGGAGAATGATCCCTCTGAGCCAGTGGGCCTGCCTCTTTTCCTTTCATCAGACACTGTGAAAACATTCCTGTAAGCGTGTAGTTTTTAATATCGTATCTATCTGTCCATGTGCTCGTTATTTTGTTGCTGGAACAAAATATGTAGCGGATTATGAGACAGGGATTCTGTGAGAAACCCAGGGTCTCTGCTTTACCATGGAGCAGGGTCACCCACCCAGGCCTCCAAGCCTACAAGGACAGGACATGAAAGAAGCTCACAGAAGCTGTTTCCATTGGCATGGGCTCTGGAGCTGTCTGGAAGTCCTAGGATACCAAACTTGATCAAGGAAGGGCTGTCACTTTGGAAGTTCAAAAGGAAGTGTCTCGAAGCTAAGGCAAGCAAAAGAACCCACGCTTAACTCGCTCTTCTTTGATGAGCCTCTTCCCAGGTGTGTTTGAGCAGGTCCCCAGAACCCAACCCCCACTGGTCCTGCTGGCTTTCCCTGGCTGCAGCCCGCTGCCCCTGGTGGCCTTTCCCGGCCTCAAGGATCTTGCAGCATAGCAAAGCAACGTGTTGTGTGATGTTTTCTCAGATCTCAGCTCATCCATCAGGGTGGGGTGTGGGGGGTGACTATCTAACACAAATCCTAGGATTTATTCTGCTCAGGAAGAGATGAAATAGATGGCAGATAAAAAAAAAAAAAGACAGTGGCTTCTATCATTTCAAATGATAGGAATTTAAAGTGTGACTTCACAGAGGGAGAAACTTGTAAAAACTCACGCCATGGTGGGATAACCCAACAAGGGCCAGTGATGATTCCCCCAGTTCATCCGCTTGTTTTCTCACAACCCAGGACAGTGAACAGGTCTGAAGCCCAAGTACAAGAATAAACTGAGGCTTATAGATGGGGATGACTTCCTTGAGATCCCATGTGGCAAGTATGTAGCAGAGCTTGAATGAGACAGGGCAGTGGTGTCCAGAAATTTGGACTTGACGCCTTGCCCAGGAAATCTGAGCAAACGCCACCTCCTCTCCAGTATCTCCCCACCCCACCAAAGGTACAGGAGGGGTTCACTCTGTGATGAGCAGAGCAAAATAGTATTAAAGCTATCTAAGTCTCTACAGCATGAGCTGGTCTCTTGTTTCTGGGATGCCAAAGAATGCTCTCAGAAAAGAGCCTTCTGTAGTTTTCAATTCCTACATATGGACCCTGTTTGGAGAAGATGCAAGGAATTAATGAGAAACTGAAACTGGCCTCATCTGCATGTGTTTGTGACCTAGATGTGTATCTCAGCTGCACCCCAACATTGTGTCCTTTCACCTTTTCTGGTCTGATGATCCAGGGCCAGCCAGGAGCCATTGGGCCTCTACATGGCCACAGTAGGCCCCCTTCTGTGTGACAGAAGGGACCAGATTGCTTTCAGTGCTGCATTTCCGAGGTTGTGACTTCAGCAATGGCCTGCCAGATGTCAACCTTCACATGAAACCAGCAGACCCTGGGCTAGGGGCACTAATATACAAGCTCACTTAATTCTTCCAACATCCCTAAGACAGGCTTGCTATGATCACTGTTTTACTAACAAGAACACTGAGGCTCCAAGGGATAAATCTCTTGCCCATAGTTGCACAGTCAGTGAATAAGTAAGCCAGGATTTAAACTGTTTCTTTCTGGCAACAGAGATAATATTTATCCACCATTGCGTCTCAGATTTTCCCATAGTAGTACCCATAATAACAGAGACCAGAGTGAAACAGATAAATTCAACAGATTTTAGAAAAGCTCAAAGCAGACAATAATAAGCTTCAAATTCCTTCACAGTCTCCTGTTTTACTTTGAGTAATTCATGCAATATGTATATCCCACTTCCTAAATTAACCTGATTGGTTTTAATATGGCTGTATAAATTTAAAAACAAAATAAACCAACAAACAAAAAACGTATGTGCCCTGTCCAACCCATAGGAAACATATCTGAGTCTGAAGCACAGGGCTTGGCCATGTTGATTTTTTTCCCTCAAGCTCTAGAACAGATCACTTTCCCCTAGGGAGATCCTTCAGTGTGGGAGTATCCTAAGCTCGCTGTTCATGGACTGACCTCAACTAAGGTCTCTTCTAGTTGGACGTTGGAAGAAGCCCACTGACACACAATTAGAAAGATCATGACTTGTCCTCTGACATGGTGAAGGATGAAGAAGAGAGAAGCTAGGGACCAGCAGGTGGCGTGGTGGTTAAGGCGCTGGACACTCCCACATGGCCGACCAGGGTTCGAGTCCTGAATCTGGTGGCTTGCTTTCTCACTTCCTTTCTCTCTCACTCTCACCCTCTGTCTCTCTCTGGTCAAATTAAGGAATAAATGAATGAATAAATAAATAAATAAAAAAAGAAGAAGAGAGAAGCTAGACATAGCCTTACTCAGCAGGTTTCTGAATGTTGAGGTTCATAGATGGTGATGCCCCTTGTCCAAGTGAAGTCATATGTCTGCTAATATGAGGACCCACTTAACATGAGAGGCTGGGGTCCGGAAGGCTTCTTGTTAGCCACACACACTAACTGGGTTTCTATAAAATGCAGCAACCCAAAGTAGGTGCTATTAGGAAGATTTCTATGGCACGATTCCATCCCATAAGCATGGGCTTATGGTAGAAAAAAGCTTTGTCTTTAATTTAAATCCCAGCTCTGTCATTTCCTGGCTATAGCATGTTAGATCAGTCAATCAATGAAAAAAGACACATGAAAAAGGTGCCTGAGCCAGGTTCGAAGGGATATATTTGGAAAGCTTTAGGCAGGAAGGCAAGGCTGGGAAATTAGAGTCCAATGAATATACCAAACCAAGGACACATATGGGCTATTGAGAAAAATGGTCACTTCTGTGACATAGCAGGACAGAGAATGAAAAATGGGCTCATAAGAACCACTTGAAATAAGTATGCTGCTTTGGAACAAATCTCAGTGTCTGGGAAAAAAGATGTTAATTTTCCTCTGACCAATCACGTGTATTCATCCTCCATTCCCAGTTGCTATGCTAGTTCCTGCTGTGTGTCCTTACTAGGATCCCTGTTTTCTCCATTCGTGTGTGAACCCCTATAGAGCCAGTCTAATAAGGCTGTTGCAGACAACAGAAGTGAGGACCTGAGAGGAGCAGCCAGGCACTTGTGTCATCTCTGTAGGAGATCCAGAGATGCTGAAGGAAATAATGATTTCCCACACTTCATTGCCTGAGGACAGAATAAAAAAGCCACTATTTCTTAACCTGTGGCTTGTCTCTCCTCCCAGTCTGCATGGATTGGCCATCATCCCCAAGCTGAATCAGGAGTAATACTGTGGAAGCCATGGGTGAACCCAAGGATAAGCATGAGAAAGATGCTGATTCTAAGCCATAAACTTAGCAGATTATGCTGGGCCAAGACAAGTAGTCAATCCAAGTCAAGGGCAGGTCAAAAGACACAAAAGGGACATGTCATCTCAAAGCCCTGACTTACCTTCCCTATTACCCACCCACTCAAGCACTTTCTCAGCCTCTGACAAGATCCAAATTGTGACCACATATAACAAGGAAATAGTAAAAGGAAAAATGAATCCTATTAGAGGAAACCAGTTGAGATTTATTCTTGTTCATATACTCCCATGCAATGGCTCCCTATTAGAAGTTGTTCATGTATACATATCTAGAAGTAACAGGATGTAGGACCTTGACTTCACCTAGTAAGGATCTGCCTTTAAGGTCATATACTGTATAAACAGCAGAGAAAGAGTCAGTGGTGGAGAGTGGAAGAGGGGGGGCAGATTTTCCAGCCCCATTTTCCTCTGACATACATTTCAGGGTCATAGCTCTGATCCTCAGAAGCACAGCAGAGTTGCTTAAGCCATATTTGTGCATATTAGCAGACTGTCTTCTGACTTTTAGGTAACCAGAGATAGACTTTTGCATGGAACTGGCTGTATGGCTATCTTATAGAAATCAAAACTGATTGTCTCCTGCATCCCTCCTGCCCACCTTCAAAATAGGTGGGAAAAGGTGATTGAAGGGGCTATATTTCCCCCTCTGAAAATCCATCCATAAATGTTAGTCACACAAGAGGAGGCAACAGCACCCACAATGTTAGACCCTAGGCCTGGCATCCCAGCAGCCTAATACCTTGGTGGTGCTTTGTTGGGGATGGTACAAGAGATGCGGGAGGACTTAGGGTATAGGGGGGCTAATGGAAAGAGTTCTGGGGGCTGGATCACTATGAGGCTTCCTTCTGTATCTGAATGATAGGATATGCTCCCTGATCCTTGATTGGAAGGCTCATAGAATGAAAGTCTAGGGGTCTTGGAGAACTGGGTAGAAAGATATTAGTATGAAGCTTGGAGCTCAGGGTAATTGATGTAGTTCATGGTTCCTTGGGGAGAAAGATTTCTGAATTTGGGACAAGGGGAATTGAAAGTAGCCTGCCACAACTGCAAAGTTGAGTACTTGTATAAGTACTTCAGTGCCTTTGGGCCTATGAATACAAATCAGTGGGCCTCCTATGTAATAGTCTGACAAACTCTCAGTGCCCACCCTACCCCTGTCTTTCCCATTGAAAGCTAATGATAGACCACCAGTCAAAGTCCTCAGGGCCATCTGGAGGCTTAGAGGGCAGAGTGGTTTCTTTCTGGGTAAAATCAGGTTTCTGAATGGTCAAGCAGAACACTAGTACCCATATCCTTCACAAATCTGCATATTATTAAGCAAAGTCAAGCACAGTTTACCAGTTCCAGGTCACTCCTGTCAACACAGCTAGGACAAATGGGTGGAACTTAATAGGTACAAAGAAGAACTTACTCTTTTGCTATCTACCAGAGAGAATAAGCCATCCATGTCAACAGCCATCCAGCAGAGCTAGGCATCTCTTTAAACAGAAGAAGGAGCACTGCTAAGATGGCCTTTGTGCCGCTTCCATTCTAGTTGCATAAGATCTTATGGAACCATGGTCACGTCTGAACTCATTCATACCTGCAGAGCACAAAGCCAAGTTGGATACATTTGGTTTGTGCAGGTTGAAGCCCTCTGCTCCTCCAGTCAAATCTTACCAACACACAGGACATGATGTTGTTCTGGCCACATATCCCAGGTTCATCTAGGCTATTACCAAACACCAAACCAGAGGGAGCAGCTGCTTTGCCATAGACTGGTGCCCCCTGGGATCTATGATGAGAGTAGCCATAATTCAGATCTAGTGGCCAACAGGGCTATCAGTGACAGCCAGAACCAGTGAAGGTCCAAGTTGGGCCCAGAGTAGGGCTTTGCTTATCATACTCGTTATCTCCAGAGGTTAATGCAACCCTCCCCTCCCCAACTCAAGGAGCAGATGACAAAAGCAAAAGCACAGTGACTCAGTTGACACGTGTTTATAATCATTCCCAGTGCATACATTTTACCACCAGATGGATCCTGGGCTAGCACATGTTAACCTATATTAATCCATAATAGAATCAAACTCCAACACACTTTTGTATCTTCTCTGTTCACTTTACATCAACGGCAAAGAGCCAAGGCCTATACCATTGCCTTGGCTACAGGACTCGCTGACAGCCCTCGAAGGGCTTTCATGAAGGCCCCACTCAACTCCAGGGAGGCTGACATTTCCACATCCGCTGGGCATATAATATTGCATGAGACCAAAGTCTCCACACTGAGCGTCCTCCATGAATCCCAGCAGCCTGCACTTGTACAGTTTGGATGTTTGATAGATAAAGCACGTAGGAGAAGAAAAAACAAAAATCAACCTTCAAAAAAAGCCAGCACTGTGCTGTCAATGTTCTTTTTTTTTTTTTTTTTTTCCAATTCTGGCTTAAAAAAGCAGAAAG